CTAGGCTAGGTAACCTCATACCAGTGTCCACAGCGCTCAGGACAGGGTCTCAGCACCGTCAGCTGCGTCTCTTCCATCAGACGTGGGGCTCCCTGAGGGTTCTACCACCCCCTCTCCTGTCAGACTGGGAAATTCTTGTTACACGTAGCCTACCTGGGTGTCTGAGGAAGATTCTAACTGGCATCTGATTCTGATTAGAAGTCCCCTGCCCCAGTCTTTAGCAGAGTGTGACTTTCTTAGGTCACACTTTCCCAGCCTCCTGGGACTGTCAGGCCGGGAATATCTCCAAAAATTAGCACTTAGCCACCCTCCACCCCATGAGTACACTTAATCAGAGGGGCCCATGGCTGTGGGTTCAAGTCCCAGTTCTTCTACCTAGCCTTGGTCTTTCTATTGGCTCTCAGTCTCCACATCTGTACAGTGGGCTCAGGACCATGCAGACTGAGGGATTGTGTTCTATATAGACTTGTTCTCTTAGAACAAAGCCCCCTTCTGGGTGGATGCAACCTTGTAGTCGAGGCTCAGTAGAAGAGACTCATACCTGGGGCAGACACAGCTCCGTGGTAAATCTCAGGGTCCAGTGGCCAGAACGGGGGCAATGTTTTAGTCCCTCCCCGTCACCAGCCGCCAAGTTCAGGTCACAGTGTGCACAACCTTGAGCCCTGGCTGGGTCAGAGTTGCCAGCGTGGCCAAGGGTGGGAAAGGAACATGAAAACGATTTAGAATGATGCCGTCTCAGGCTGCCCCCTGGTGGTCACTTGCTGTGTGACAGGCACAACTCAAGAACCTTATCGTCACCAAGGCCTTGGTTCTGGCAGGGGGATTTCTCTGCTTGCAGAAACCATCGGAACCAGAGTTACATCACCAGCCCCCTGGGCCCTGAGAAAAGGATCCTGTCATGAAGCAGCCATCATGGGCCAGGCCTACACCAGGCATTTGAGAGACAAACTTAATATACCGCATTACTCACTCCACAGTTCTCTTTACTCCTGGAAACTTTCCTGTCTCTCCCTGGTGTCCCAGGGTCCGGTACAGTCAGTGGCGGTCACTGTCTCCATCAGACTGAGCTCCCCCAGGACTCTCTCCCCCATTAGACTGAGAGTGCACACCCTCTCTCTTTCTCTCACTCTCTCCCCTCTCTAATCCACCTGCTGTCTGAGGGTCAGGGAGACGTCTGATCTGAGGATCCAGCTGGAAACCCCAGCCCCAAGTGAGAATGGACACATTCTGAGGTTGGCCCATGGCCTTATTTCTAGATCTTTCTGGAAAGGCTTCAGTCTCTGACTGCTGGAACCCACCCAAGATTCTTTCCTTCTCTTCAGTCTCCTGGGTCCCTCCTCCCATGCCCAGACCACTGGCAAACTCCTTTCTATGCCCTTCTAAGCCTCATACACAATTGGGCAGTGGGCTCCATCCTCAGGAGCTCCCAAGATGTGCCTTTCAAGCCCGAGACCAGACCAGGCCAAGTCTTTCTCCTTCTCAAGGGATCTACCTACCCTGTGCTGCCAGGGGTCCCCAGTGGACCCTGATCACTGCTGGAGAAACCCTGCCTCCTGCCTCCTCCGCTCACACTGTAGCCTCCAGTATGCAGGGGCCTCTGCACTGATGTATCCCTTGCCTGGCCCACCAGGGAGTACCTGCTGGTGAGGGACAGGCTGACTGAGTCTTGGCCATGATCGCTCTTGCAGATGTGGGACCTTGGGTAAGTCTCACTTTTTCACATTCAATCACCATCTATAAACTGAGTACCTACTAAGGATCCTGCCATCCACAGGATGCCTACCCAGGTCTGCCAGGACCTCTGCTCTTCTTTCTGCTGTCAAGCTTTGCCTCCCTTGGAGAGACTCCTCGCAAGGTCTCAATGACCAACCCAGGGGCGATTCCACCACAGTTCACCTAGGGAGATAATGAATTTACAGGCACACTTACAGAGTGTGGGTGAGGAGTTATTTGCAGGAGCCTGATGGGACCCCCAAAGTAGCTGCATACAACAGCTACTTCACCCAGCATAGATGATGGCTTCCCCATAGCCATGTAGACGGAACCCTGTTCAATCAACTTTCCCTAGCCTACAGATTCTAGCAACTTCTGAGGGCAGAATTAAATTCAGGTAGCTGAGAGGAGTGTCTGGAATCCCGGCGAGGGTCCAGTGACCTTCCCATCCTCTCCTCTGAGATAGCATCAGCAGTCAGTAGCCAACGGCCTCTTGCAAGTGGGCACATATGATCTGATGATGATCACGGCTGTTCTGTTCAATAGAGGGTCCTCTGTATTCAGGGGGTACAGTCTCCCCTCTCCTACTGCTCCCCAGATGTCACATGTGCTCAGAGTGTCCCCAGGCATCCCTGTTTTCAAACCTCTGTGTACAGAGAGCCTTCCACCAGTTCTAGCTGCCAACACTCTTCCCAACCTTCAAAATCTGTTTTCAGGGTCACTGTAGACTTGAAGCTGTCCCCATGTCCCCTTGGCCCTTGGCAGGAGCTCTCCTTTCACAGGCTCTTCTGGCTAGGGAAACAGCACCTCCCACCCTGACCCTGAGCTCATCTCACACATGGCTCTCTTCACAGTGTCCCTACTGACCCTGGGACTGCCGGGCAAGCACTGGTCTGATTCATCACTGTAGTGGCTCCTGCAGATGAATCTTCCTCCCGTCCAGCCCTGCGCCGTCCCTTCCCCATGCTTCAGTGCCCACAGCAGGGCAGGCTCTCTCGGTTGCAGATGTCTGTTTATTGACGGATAGCCACGGGAGGGGGCTCTGTCTGGGTCCTGAAGATCATGCCAGGAGAAGAGAAGGTAGGGGTGGAGGGTGCATCCTGGCACTGTCATCCCAGGTCCTCCCCTCTCTGCCATGAGTGGGTGTGGCAGGAGGCGGGCAGTGGAAGGTCACGGGGCAGATGGACTGTGGGGTGAGTGAGGAGAGGACAGACCGTCCCAGGGACGACAGCCACACATCTTGGAGCCGTCTGGACATCGTTTGCTTCAGCAGAATTCCAAGGACTGGGAAGGTGAATGTGGACACACAAGGAAGAGGCACTTGGCTCCCCCAGGATGGCCCAGTCTCAGGATGGTACCAGTGCTGGAGTGTCTATCAGGAGACCTATGTTCTGGTCTCTGTCCTGATAGGAGTAAGCTGTGTAACCGTAAGCAAACTCCTGCCTCTGTCTGAGCACCAGTGTGTACAGTGGCAAGATTGAATCAGCAAGAAGACTGTAAACACATGGGGCGGGCAGAAGCATCCATCCCATCCCCATCTGTGGCTGAGTCAGCCAGACAGGGACCCTAGAGGATGGATGCTCTGCTCATCCCATCCACCTCTCTTTGCCCCAGGCATCTCTTACCCTGTGAACTGCCCTCTCTCTCCTCTCTTCAGGGGTCCTCTTCCACAACCCCCACCCCAGTCCCCAGATTGTTATATTGCCAGCAGAAGCATTAGCAGCTGTGAACAGCTCCTGCCCTTACATCATGGTGAGTCAGAACCCTGCCTCCGAGCCACACTCGTTCTGGAGAGCGATAAGAAGGGCAGGCACATCTGCCTGCTCAGTGCCAGGCCACATGCACAGGACAGGACCAGAGCTCGAACATAGGCGGGTCTGTCTTTCCTTCTCCACATAGGGGCAGGAGCAACCCTAACGCGGGTGAGCCACCTGGGTGTCCTTATAATAAGGAAGGATCCCTTCACAGCCACCTCAGCAAGGCTAGGCTTGGAGGGCAGAGTACCAGGCTCTGAGCAGCTGGGACAGAGCCCTGCACCCACTGGACGGTGGACACTCAAGTGTTGTTCACACTTGCGTGTGGTCAGTGCTTCATACTCATAGTGGTTTCAGTTCCCCCTGTGGATGCAGGAGGCTGCGGTAATTTGTGTTGCTGTCGTCATGACAGCCAACCCTTGAGGTCCCCAAGGGATCGATCCATCACCAGGGGCTCCAGCCCCTTGGTAGAATGGTACAGTACTGCCTTATAGCCCGTGCACAACCTTCCATACACTTCATTTTCTTATCTTTTTCTTTTTTAAGGCAGAGTCCTATGTAGCCCAGACTGACCTTGAACTCACTATGTAACCAAGGATGACCTTGAACTTCAGATGCTCCTGATTCTACCTCCCAAGTGTTGGCATAGAAGTGATGTCGCCCCTGCTCCCAAGCACTGTAAATCCAATTGTCTCTGGATTATTTGTGATGCCCCGTGTCTGGTAGATGCTCAGACATGGGGTGCCGTGAGCCTGGCAAGGTTTGCCAAGGAGCGTCTGGCCACTCAGGGATCCTGAATGAGCCCCTGTGAATGCACACAAGAGTATATGTGTGAAACATGGAGACCACACATGCAGGAGGGCATGTGAGTGCCAGCAATTAATGGGGCCACTGCTGCTCCGTGACAGAAGTCCCCAGGTGGAGCAAAAGACTTGTGCCTAAATTTCTTTGCCCTACAGGAGCCCTGGGAGGTAGTCTGCCTTCTTGCATGAGACCTCTATCCAGCCAGGAGGCCACTAGTGGTGTCCTGGTCCTCTCTCAGAACTCTCACCCTGGGCCAGCATCCTCCTATGAGCAGGTGACTATCAAAAAACCCTGACCTGGGGGCTAGGGAAATGGCTCAGTAGGTAAGGGCACTTTCCAGGAAGTATGGTCACCCGAGTTTGATCCTGGGACCCACATAGTGGAAGGAAATAGACTCTTCCAAGTGTGATTTCATCTCCATATTCACACACACACACACACACACACACACACACACACACACACACGCACACGCATAAAATAAAGTCTTGATCTTTTTCAGTGTGCACAGTAGGATGGGACTCCTTACAGAATCCCCCTCCAGCCCCCTCCCCTGACCTTGAGCTCCAGACAGCAGGTGCTACTCAGGTCTGAGGCTAGAAGTCTTCCTTACAGGGCAGAGTCCCGGTTACCCGGGGCAGCGACAACAGGTGCACGGGCTCGGAGGGGGCGGGGCGCACCCCAGCACCGCCCTCCGCGCTCCCTGGGTCCCCCGCCCGCCGCGGCGTCGCCGGGTCCTGGCAGCTGCGGGCGCGGCGCGAGGCGATCGGGACGCGGCAGCGGGGACGACGACCCAGGCGCTAGCGGAGGCCGAGCCGAGCAGCCCCGGCCCGCGGAGACATGAGCGCGCGGCCGCCCGCCGCACCCCGGGCGCAGTGGCCCGACCCCGCCGCCCCGTGATGGGCTCCTGCGTGTCGCGAGGTGAGGACCCTGCTGCCCAGGACGCGGCAAGGGACAGGGGCACCAGAGCGCGGCCCGGGGAAGCCCCGGGTGGGTGTCCGCCCTTCACGGACAAGCCGCGCCCCAGGGGACACGGTGCCCCATTGGGACAGGGCTTGGGAGGAGAGCGGGCAGCGCGCAGAGCGGGCGGAGGTCTCTGCACCCCACGCCCCACTCGGCACCCGGCAGGTGGCATGAAGCAAGGTCCCGGTGCCATGCTTTCTTCCCTGCAGCTACACGCCTCCTGCAGTGTGCCTGGGAGGGGAGAGTGGCTTCCGGTTCTTTCTGGTCCTCTGACGGGCCACTGAGCTCCAGGAAGACAAGCAGACCTCGCTTCTGCTCCCCAAGACGCAGGCCTTTCTAGCCCGGGATCTCTTTCCCTCCCTGTACCTCTGTCTTCAGCCCTAGAAACCCCCTGGCAGGAAGGGGTCAGTGGGGATGAACAGGTTATCAAGGGTGGCTTTACCCCACCCCCATCCCTGCTCAGGGGACAGGAGAGGATAGAGGACAGCTGATGTTCCCAGTAACCCCTGGGCCTTTGTCTCTGACCTGGCACCTTGGTTATCTCCAAGGTGATTCCAGGGAACTCTCCCTCATCTGGGCACGGGTGGGGGGGGGGCTGTCTGTGAATGGGGGGCATAGGGTCTTTCACAGAGTCTGGGGGATGGGCATATTTGTCTTTGGAGTAATATTTTAGAAAAGAGGTTGGGAGTTGTCGTGGCATGCCTGTAATCTCAGCACTAAGGAGCTGAGAGATCAAGAGTTCAAGGCCAGCATCCACAGCATAGAGAGTTCGTGGCCAACCTGGGCTACATGAGACCTTGTGTCAAAACAAAACAACTCCCCCCCCCCAAAAAAAAGGTTGGGCTATTGTCCCACTTGGGACTCTTACCCTCTGTGGGAGCATCGGGTGGGCTGGGAGTGAGAGTGTAAAGACAAGTCTCCCCACCCAAGTTCTTGGAAGACTTCACTGGTCACTCCAGTAATTTACGCAGGCAGAGAAGGGTAAGCTGGCCTTAGAGTTGGGCTGGGCGGGCCCTGGTGGGGAGCTTGGTCTGGGGAAAAGCACTCCTCCCCCATCCCCTGGACTCTGAGGAAGTTCTGTCCCAAGTTCATGGAAGAGTATTCAGGGGAGTGACTCAAGGTGTCCCTGCAAGGTGTCCCTGCAAGGTGTCAGCAGTGGGGGCATGGGTGGGGGAGGGGAGGGGCAGAGTCAATCTGTATGAAGTTGGTTCAAGCTGGTTGATGGTAACATGGCTACCTCCTGGTGTTAGAAGCAGCGTGGTCCTGTGAGACCCGAGGAACCCAGCATGCACCTGGCCTGTGAGGCAGAGCAGAGATTGAGGATGGGTCTTTCAGCCCCAGGCTCTCCGAGTCTAAGCTGTCCCCAGAAACCTTCAAGACTCTGGGGAGTCTCCCATGGAGGCAGTTCCAGGAGTTAAAGATCTGGACATTTCCTTAGTGACCAGATAGATCTCTTCTCCATCCCTTGGCCAACCCATGCTCGCAACCATGGGATCCCAGCCCTGAATGTGCTGGCCTGTGAGCACAGGATCCACAAAAGACAGGCTAGAGGCTGGACTACAGGGATGCCTGCCAAGGTCGCACTATGAGGCTGAGGCCTGGGTCCTCCATCTCCCATACTCCCTCCACGACCCCTCTGCCAGGGCAGTTGAGGTCACCCTGGCGGAGACACTCTCTACTCTTCCTCCTGAATCCTGAGTGCCGCCCCCAGATCAGGCTGCGTTTTCTAGCCTTCTCCCCATCCTGAGAGGACAAAGCCCGACGGTCTCAACGTGCACTCCAGCAACTTAGAATGAGAGATTTGAGCTGGTGGTGGCTCACGCCTTTAATCCTAGCACTTGGGAGGCAGAAGCAGGCGGATCTCTGTGAGTTCGAGGCCAACCTTGTCTACAGAGTGAGTTCCAGGACATCCAGGGTGGTTACACAGAAAAACCCTTTCTCAAAAAATTAAAAACCAAAAGAAAAAAAGAAGTGAGTTTTTTTGTTTGTTTGTTTTTTGTTTTTGTTTTTTGGATTTTTCAAGAAAAGGTTTCTCTGTGTAACAGTCCTGGCTGACCTGGAACTTGCTTTGTTGACCAGGCTGGCCTCGAACTCACAGAGATTCACCTGCCTCTGTCTCCCAAGTGCTGGGATTAAAGGCGTGAGCCACCACCACCCAGCTCAAGCAGTGAGAAATTTGAGGGATGCATGGACAGGGGACGGTCTTCTAGAGACTCAGCCGATGATCCACTGCACAGAGGGACCTGCTCCTGTCACTTGTCCTCCCAGTATTTGTGACTCACCGGGTTCTACTTGAAGTTGTAGGCACAAAAACTAGTGGGTTATATACTGTCCCAGTCCCCATTTCACAAATGAGGGCACTGAGCAACCAGCCTAGGGCCATAAACTGGGAAACGATAAAGGCGGGGTCTGAGATTCTCTCACTCCAGACCCGGGTCCTCAGCCTCTCAAGTCCTCAGCCTCCCAGGTCCTCAGCCTCCCAGGTCCTCAGCCTCCAGGTCCTCAGCCTCCCAGGTCCTCAGCCTCCCAGGTCCTCAGCCTCCAGGTCCTCAGCCTCCCAGGTCCTCAGCCTCCCAGGTCCTCAGCCTCCCAGGTCCTCAGCATCCCAGGTCCTCAGCCTCCCAGGTCCTCAGCCTGAGCACCCTTGGCCTCTTGTGGATCATCTCAGGCCTCCCTGGGCTCCTGAGTCCCTACCTCTGTACACTTGGACCAGTTATTGACCACAGTCCTCATCTGCCAGGGGTTTGCTCGAGCCATGTGCAGAGCCTGAAGTGGAGGTCAGGGATCCTGAACTTTGCACTGATGCCTCACGGAGCCTGGACCTGCAACCAACTGGGGCTACCCAGTTTCCCCTACTCCAGGTCCAGGCTACACCTGAGAGATCCACCCTACTCAAAAGTTAGCTTCTGTCACCGGGCTGGGGGATCAGGAGTCCCCAGCCTGCAGGCCCTGCTCCACTGTCCCCAAGTGTGTGTTCTTATCCAGTTGAGTGGGAATGAGGATAGTGTGGGAGTGTAGGACTGGTCGGGAGAGGGTCTCAGTGTAAAGACCACCCTCACCATCAGTACTGGCACCGTCAACACTCAATAGCCATTTCTCCCATGGGGCTACTGTATCAACTTTCCTGCATACAGTTGCTCCAGGCCTTCTGGGTGGGAAAGGGAACCCCTCCTGCCTCCAAGGAAGTAGTAGGAGCCAGGCATTTGTGCTGAGGGACAGAGGGATACTGGCCACACACACTGCATCTAGGAACTATTTTGTATTCCTTATCTATTTCTATTTTTTCAATATTTATTTTGTTTGTCTGTTTGTTTGTTTATTGAGACAGGGCCTTATTCTGTAGTCCTGGCTGGCATTGAACTCAAGGTCATCCTCCTGCTTCCATCTCCCAAATGCTAGGATTTCATGTTTGAGGATCATGTCTGCCCTACTTATCTTTTTTTATTTTTGTTTACATTCGATCTCCAGTAGCCTAGGCTAGCCTTGAACTTGCTATGTGACTGAGGATGACCTTGAACTCCTGATCCTTTTTGCCTCTACCTCCCAGGTGCTAGGATTACAGGCATGTACCACCATGCCTCACGTATGTGGGGCTAAGGGATCGAACCCAGGACTTCGTGCATGCTAGGCCAACATTCCACCAGCTGAGCTACAACCAGAGTCCGGTTCATCTATTTTTAAGCGGCCACTCCTTGGATGCTTATCCTGAGCCAGGCTGAGCCAGGTCTTGGCTCTCCTGACCCAGTTAGTTCTCCTTGAACCTGGGAGGAAAGTGGGTTCAGAGTGGAGCAGAACCTCACCCGGCTCACCCACCTGGCAGTACAGAGAGGCAGACTCAGGTCTGTGGGCCCCAGTGCTGAGCAAGGAGCCCCTGCCCTTTGCTTTTCCAAAGACTCCCTGCTCTCCCCCAAAGCACTTGGTACACGGCCAACAGTCCAGAACTGATTTCTGGGATAGCTCAGAGGCCTCACAGCTGGTTAGGTTTTCCTGGCGCTGTCAGTGGAGGACAGCGTGGGACATACAGGAAGTCAGTATCTACCCCCTCCATCTTGGGGTCCCTCTGTGCCCACCTATGCTTCCTGGCCCCACGACTTCTCTATCTACCCCTCCCACCACAGTCCTCTCCCCCAGCTAGCCAGTCAGCCTCCTGGCCTATCTTGGGGGTCGCTAGTGTCTAGTGCATCGGTTCTTATGAGATTAGACATTGGCCATTGAGGACCATCTACGAGAGTAGATGGACATTTCCTGTAGTTTAATCTGAGGGGAGGGGCACCGTTTTATGTTCGAAGTCTAGTGGGGGAAAGTAGTGCACACACACACACACACACACACACACACGCATACATGCATGCATGTACACACACACCCTATAGGAAAAAATGACTGGTCCCTTTCTGGAGATCAGCACTATCTGTTTGGTAGTTGGACTTTCATCCTGCCCCCTAGGTCTGAACCTCATCCATGCCACTCACTACCTGGTGCCTTGGATAAGTCATTCAGACACTCCGAGGCTTCATTTTCTCATCTGTCAAATGGGCATGCTGTTACCTACTTTGTAGGGTTCAAAGCGAAATCATAGGTGTCTGACCCGGAGCACATGCTTAATAAACAGGCAGCGTATCCTCGCAGGCCAGGCTTCTCCCTCAAGGGAGTTACCTAGTCAGCTTAGGCCAACCTGGCAGGCTGCCTGGAGTTGGTGTGACTGGAGTAGGCTGGGGCCCAGGAGGGGAGAGGGAATGAGGAGGAGCTGGGGTGAGTGGAAGCTCTTGGTTGGGGATGGAAAGGGATCCCCATGAGCATCGCTGAGCTCAGCCAACCAGAGGACTACAGGACCATCATGGCCCTGTGGTTTGGGAAGACGTTGGAGAATGGGCCTCTGCCAAGTTTGGGGCCCTGCTGTCCTGGCAGGGACTCACCAGGCAGAGAGGCCAATGACTCATACTCTGGTCTCCCTCTGT